ATTCTTCTCTGGGAAGAGATTAAGCTCTTTAAAACCCCTTGACTTCAAGTATGCTGTGCCTCTGCCTGAAATGTCCAGCTCCTGCTCCACCAGCCAATATACACTTCTCCACCAAGATCCCACCCGCCATGAGCCTACCACCACTCCACACCTCTCACCCTGCTCCTGTAGACAAGCAGCCATGGCCTGTGAGTTACAAGTCTCTGTGGCAGGGGCCACAGAAAAACCACTGGAAGTCAGTGAGCAGAAGTGGGATGCAGCATAAAGATGCTTGGATGTCTCACAGAACCCAAAGGCCTCAGGAACAGCCTGGAGCTGGGGAGGGGGGCTGCAGAGGTGGTAGGGAGTTTTCCCTTCTCTTTTTGTCTTAGTGTATTGGCTTCCACTTTTCCTCTTGCTCCCAACTGGCTCTCTATGTTGTGTTCACATAACAGATGACAGATGTCATGCATGCTCCAAAGCCTGTATCTTCTCTAGTCAAGAGAGCACCCAGACGGAACTGAAATCTCCTTGTCCCAAGTCCAGATTCCTCAGGATAGGCACTCACTGACCCAACTTCCATCAGCAGCTCATTCCTGAGCCAGCAGAGCAAATATGGGCATTGGGTGGGGGCTTTTGCACAGGAGTTTGAATAAGCAAGAAGGATGAAGGATCCCGTTGCCTACTTACAGCCCTGCTTCACAACTGGAAACAAAGTCCTCACATTTGGTCCCACGCACTGTCTTTCCTTCAACATATATTGCTTAAGGCCCTTGAGGAAGCAGAACAGAAATGAACTTTTGGGATTCTGAGCCAAGAAAGTGACTGTATCGGGTCACCTTATAGGAAGAGAAGGCCCCAGGCATCTTTAGGGACTGCAGCCACAGGAGTTTGTGACCCTCCTCTCCACACCCCTCTGGTCACTCCCAATATCTTGTATCTCAATTTCAAAACCCTGATTCCCAGGAAACAGACCCAGAATAACCTAGCTGGGCCAATGAGCAGTGGCAGGGCATGTCAATTGGGGTGTGATTTCCAGGGAAGTAATTATTAGAGGCTTGGAAGCGAGCTCAAGTCATAATGAAAAGAACCGTGAGGTTGGGGCCAGGAGTTCTGAAACCCCAGAGTGAACTATGACAATAGTGTTCTTTTTCCCATTCCTCTCTGAACCTCTGTGTCTTAGAATACCTTACAACGGGTTCCTTAAACAACAAACATTTATGTCTCACAGTTCTGGAAGTTGGGAAGTCCAAAATCAGAGTCAGTTGGGCTTGGTGGTGCACACCTGTAATCCTAGCACTTGGGAGGCTGAGGCAGGAGGATTGCTGTGATTTCAAGGCCAGCCTGGGCTACATAGTGAGTTCAAGACCAACCTGAACTACACAGGGAGACCCTGTCTCAAAAAACAAAACAAACCCAAAATCAAAGAGCCACCAGATTTGGTATTTGGTGAGAGCCAATTTCCTATGCATAGATGGTGCCTTCTTGCTGTGTCCTGGAATGGCAGAAAGAAGTAGAATCTCCCAGGTCACTTATAAGGACACTAATCCCATCCAAAAGGGCTGCAGCCTCATGGTCTCATCTCATTTCAATTATTTTCCAAAGAGCCCACCTCCTCATGCCATCATATTAGGAAATAAATTTAAACATATGAATTTTGGGAAGACACAAGCATTCATCCCATGATACTCTGCTTCTCCACTTATAAAATGACCTAGATTGATTTCTGGGGCAGAGCAGAAAAGTACAGGGGGTCCCCACATTGCTTGGGGTCTGGGAAGGCTGAACATGTTCTTGGAGCTCTCGGTGCTCAGAACCTGGGTGGTGATGGGTCACTGAATGCAAATGGGCAGTAAGGAAGCTGATGCTGCCAGCTTCAAAAAGGGTTTCTCCCTTTTAGGTTAGGAACATCCCTTGCTGACAGCAGGGAACACTTACCTTTTACACCACCCAGGAGTGAGCCCCACAGCCTGCACTGTCCTTGGGCCCCCTAACAACACATGGAGACAGACAGCCAGATTCAGGGAACATCCTAGATGGGGAGGATGATCTAGTCCAATCCTTATTCTACAGGTGGCCCGAGAGGAGGAAGGGCTTTCCTGAAGTATCAGAAGTAGGGTCAAGGTCTCCTGACCCCCTGACTGGTGCTGTGCCTCATTACCAGGTGTCCAATAAGCATTCGGGGACCAAACATTAACTCAGAGTGTAGCCGGGGCTCCACACGTGGAAGGGCACTGAGGGGGTGAGCCCTCCTCTGGCCATGTGCTCCCTCACCACTGGCAGAATGAATGAATGAATGAATGAATGGGCAGTTTCTCAGCAAAAGTCTTCCTGTAACAGTCACCCAGGCATGTCCCTGAGCTGCTGCGACTCAGCAGAGGACAACCAGCTATAAGTAGAGCTCTCTTTGGAAAACAAACTGTGAGTATAGAGAAACGGGCTTGGTGAACACTTTTAAAAGAGGCTTGTAGGGCTGGGGATTTAGCTCAGTGGTTCTGCTGCCTGCATTGCAAGCACAGGGACCAGAGTTCGATCCCCGATACCAAAAAAAAAAAAAAAAGGCTTGTAACCATTAAAATAATGATAAAGTAACATGAAAAGCTGCTCTCAATATACAATTAAGGAGGAAAACTATTATACACAACCGAGACTATGTCATGAGAACAACCATGCAGAGAAATTATGCAGGCATAGGGATGGGGCTGTCCAAACTGGCTTGTATTTATTAAACACTCCCCTCTCCCATGAGACAGGCTCTGCAAAGAGCCCTTTACACGGGTTATCTCATTCAATCCCCCAAAAGCCCTATGAAAGAGGTAGCATGGGACAAGCCAGCCCAGAAATATTGGCTGCAAAGTCTACACTTACTTGTTTTGAGGTGCTTAGAATTGAATCCAGGGCTTCATATGCACAAAGTAAGTGTTCTACCGTTGAACTGTCACCCCGCCCCAGAACCTATACTCTTAACCACTGGTTTGAATCTTTGGCAAGAATGAGACTTTTTTCTTTTCCCTTACTGTTGAGTATGAAGAAAGAAAAAAACTGTAAACCAGGCCTGGTGGCGCAGACTTGTAAACCCAGCTACTCAAGAGGCTGAGGCAGAGATTGCAAGTTTCAGGTCAGCCTGAGCAATTTAGCAAGACCTTGCCTCAAAATGAAAATAAAAAGGGCTGGGGGTGCAGCTCGGTGGTAGAGCTCTTGCCTAGCACGCGTGAGTCCCTGGGTTCAATTCCCAGTAATGGGAGTTGAGGGAAGGGATTATTCTCAATGATACTCCTCAGTCTTCAATTTTGAGTTTCTTTTGTGGAAGAGAAAGAAAGAACATTTCAAATTCCCGCCGGGTGGGGGCGCTGAAAGACGCGCTCCACAGGTAGGAGAGGCCTCCGGAGCCAAAAATCTCCGCAGTCTCCTCTTTCCCAAACTGGAGACTGAAGTTCCAGGGGGTCTGCGCACAGGGTCCCATACTGCGCTCGGACTCCCTCCTCTGGCCTGGGAGCCAGAGACGCCCGACTCTGTGACCCGGTAACCCCAGACCTCAGCACTCTGGCTTGCCCTGTCCTCACCCCCGCCACTAAACTGAATTTTTAAGAGCTGGAAGGCCTGCGGCCCTATCATTTCTTCATTTCACCCTGGAGAAGCGGCCTCTGATCCAGGGCCGCCCCCCTTTCATCTGTTTTGTGAGACTTCGATAGATCTCCCATAGACCGGCGGGAGGGGTGGAAGGTGTCTAAGCCGGAAGTCACCACGTTGCTTTCCAGGGAGAAGGGACTTTGAGAACCAGAAATCTTGCATCTTGTCTCCTGAATAAGGGGGCACTCCTGATTAGGGGGATCCAGCCAAGCCACTCCACTGAAATGAATCTCAAAGAAAACGTCTTGAACTCCTTTCCCCTGGCCCTAAATTGGCTGGGATATCACTAAAGAGGTCCACGCCGATACACAGTACTGTATTGAACAATGAAACACCCACTTGCGACCACCAGCAAAGCAGAATAAATCCCCCGATCCCACTCCACAGATCTCAGCACCCAGCAGGTCTGGAGCCCCGCTGAGAGGTTGTGGAAGACCCACTCTGCCGCTCTAAATTGAGGCTCCGTGCTGCTGGTTTATTAAGTGGGTTTTGTGGGGGGGGTTTGTATTAAATTCTTTTATTGGCACATTGTAGGTACACAACACAATTACATTTCTCATTGGGAATTGTACCTTTACATAATGCATCTTGGTTCTTATTTTTTCCCCATTCCTAGCCCTCCCTTCACGCCGTCCACCCTTCCCTATTTACAAAGACTTTATTTCCATTTTTTCCATTTCTCAGCATTTTTTCCTTTCCCTTCTTTCCTTTCCCCTGTGCCTCCCACTACCCTACCCCTTTGGACCTTTTCTTCCTATTTTACATTATCGATTATTCATTCTAATCATTGGTCCATTTTAGGTATACAATATAATGACATTCATCATTGGAAATTTGTACCTTTACATAGTCTCTCTTGGTTCTTATTTTTCACCCTTGCCCAGCCCTCCCTTCAACCCCTCCAGTCCTCCCTATTTACAAAGATTTTGTTCCTATTTTTCCATTTTCTCCTATTAATCCCATTCCCTTCTATCCTTTCCCCTAGCCCTCCCACTTCCTTCCCCTTTGCCCCTTTTCTTCCTATCTCACATGACCTATTATACATACTGTGGAAATCAGTATGGAGATACCTCAGAGAACTAGGACTGGAAGTCCCATTTGACCCCGTCATTCCCCTGCTGGGGATCTTCCCCAAAGAATTAAAAGAATCATACCACAGTGATATATGTGCACCCATGTTCATAGCAGCACAGTTTGTAATAGCTAAAACTTGGAAACAGCCAAAATGCCCATCAACTGGAGACTGGATAAAGAAAATGTGGGTTTTTTATAAAATGGAGTACTACTCAGCCATAAAAAATGAGAAATGAGAGACACTGATAGCTAAGTGGATGCACATTGAGGCGATACTCTTAAGTGAAATAAACAGGACACACATGTGTAAATACCGAACAGTTTCTCTGGTGTGAGAAACTGAAAGTGTGAATAAGGGTTATTAAGTGGTTTAATGCACATCTGACCGGTCACTCTCTCAGCAGACAGCATCGGGGCGGAGGCCCCCGGCCCAGACGCTGTGGTCTTCCCCATCGCGCGGCGGGATGGACATGCGCATCTGCATACAGAGCACCTCGTCGATATAGATGGTATTCTCTTTTACATGGATCTCCTCCTGCAGGGCAAGCTGTCGGGAATTCAGCCCTTTCAGCTCTATTTGAGCCTGGGCCAAGGTTTCCTTCAATCTAGGGGAACCAGAACACAGGCAATTTCTCTCTCTGCATTGCCTTTTTCGAGAGGGAATAAAACCTACCTGGGTAGGAAGTCAGATTGATATGTACTCTTCCCCTTCTTCTTTATCCTTAGACAAAGATTTCTGAATGGTGGCCACTGGGCAGCACTATGACAGAAAACTCCACAAAATGGCAATATTTAAATCTGCAGATGTTACCTGAACATCTGGATTTGGGCTTCTTCAGAAATATGTCAACATTAGGACCCATTTCTTGCACAGCAAGAACTTTGGCTGGACCTAGTGGATACTGATCTCACCCAGCACAGAGCAGGCTGTACCCTCTCTGGCCACTGGCTAACCACCCCTTGCCATCGGTTTAGGGTCGTGCCCGGGGCCCCTCTGCTGCAGGCGACTGGCCTACCTTGCCACATTGTGGTTGATCTCACGAACCTCCTTGATGAGCCGATACTGAGCCATGTCACGACACAGCTCCACGTTGGGCCGATGAGTCCTGGTCCCCAGGCGTGTGTGAGCCACCTTGGCAGGTGCTTCTTGGTCAAGGATGGCTTTTTCGAGAACTGCAATATTTTTCTCCTGGGAAGCAATCTCTTCCATGACCTTACAGAAAGGATGAGGGCCGGTGAGTGCAGGTTCTGCTCCCCCAAACTTAACAGCACACAGCAGATCTGTTGTGATATGAAGAGGAGACTACAGGTCTCTACCTAAGCAGGACCCCAGAATGAGTCTGATCTTTCTTCCCTAAGCAGTGACCACTGGTGGGCAAGGTTCCCAGCCAACCTTAGAATCTGACAGATGCAAAGGGTACGACTGGCTGTTTTCCTTTATGCCCTCCTGAATGTCGTGAATCCCCTGGAGGAGGTCACCAGAGGCTTGTCCAGCAAATGGCTTAGACTGGGGGTCAAGGCTGCCCACCTGTTTTGGTACATAGCACCTCTGCATCGGGAGCAGATAGGTGCCTACAACATTTCTCTGTAACTGCCCCACCAGCACCAGTTCTGTCTCCTGGAAGCAGTCTGAGCTCCGTCAGTATTTTTGAAGGTGGCTTTGTGGATAAGAAAGATACTTATAAGTTGCTCAGTTTTTTAAGATTAATATTTAGGCTGGAAGTGCAGCTCAGTAGTGGAACACTTATCTACCATGTGTGAGTCCCTGGGTTCCATCCCCAGCACTCCTTGCTCCAACTTTTTTACTTCTTGAGTTGTT